CTAACTTTTGGGTACTTGATTTGTAATCACATTATCCTTTCAAAGTAGTTTCAAAATTGTATGCACAGACAAGAAGGTTGTGTTTTACTAGTTTCCTGCTTTAGACTATACTCTTATTTTCCTTTTTAAAGACTGATGTATTCTTAAAAGGCCTCTTACTCAGTCCTATTTGTCAACAGTTAAGTATTAAACATTACGGATAATAAATACTACAAGTTGCCTTTTGAAGAGGTTTTTCTTTGCTATTTCAAGGTACAAAGACTGATCAAAAATTTTTTCTTTGTGAAGATGACATTGACCAGTAATAATTTTGAACCAGAGTTCAAAGTGTAAGGAACCAACAGAAAGGAATATAAGTTGAAGAAAATGTCATCAACCCTATGATAAACAACCTCTTAAGTACAGAATTCTTATGAGAATGATAGAAAATTATTGTAAATCTGCTTTTAGAAGACTTATTTGACTCAGCATAATATTTATTATAAATAAGTTCCTCTTTTTTTTTTTTAATAGAAGGTGAAACTTGGTAACATACGGTAGCACCATTCTCACAGAAGAAAAGCAATAATTCCACATCCTACATTTCAGCAGACATACCAGCTTTATTTTAAAACTTTTGAAGAAGTGAATGCATTCATTACACAAAAATACATGGAAAGTATTTTTATACAGAAATTAGAAGGCATTGCATAGGTAGATAGCTCAATATATAGTTTAATACAGACAGAGCTGTGTGGCAAGAAGGAAAACAAGGCCAACAGCAATTAAGCTGATAACACCTTTTTTTCTATGCCAATGTAGAAGATTTGCCTTGCACAGATCAACAGAAGAGAATCTCAATTAGCCAGTGTATCTTGCCAGTTGTAATGAGTACCTGGCCAAAACACCTCTCTTTTGGGTCATTGACCGAAGAATTGAAGATGAAGGAGTCTTTGAAATTATGTTTTTGTCAATACTAGTAATAAACTACATTATGGAGTATATTGCCTTTGATCTTAATGGAAGTACTCTTTGGCTGTATGTCCTGTATCTGATTAATATGTCTGAATACATTCTAATTTCACAACTGTAGTTACAATTAAATGCATAAATATTCTGTGTAATTTAGGCCTCCCTTTAACAAGCATCTATTTTAGCTGGGATTCTAGATAGCTGTTAAGGACTGTATGAATAGGTTAGTTTTATACTTTGCTATACTACTGCAAGAAGCTCTGGAAAGCACAGAGTGGTTTTTTGTTTTTCTTTTTGATGAGGTCTTTTGGTTATTATATTTATCCCCTGCCACCGTAAGTAGCTTCTACTGATCTCTGAATCATTTCCCTGTGACATTCCAGGTGCTGCGTGACACACCACATGTATAACTGAATTTAGCTAATGAGCACACAGAGGAGTAAATGAACCCATAGAGGAAGAAGGCACACGAAAACTTCAGACAGTTTGCACTGAAGTAAAGAAGCTTCAGTTGAAAGTAGGGTATAGCAACTGGAAAATAAAGCCACATATTTCTTATTTCTTGCAAAGGTAGGTTTTTGTTGTGGTGGTTTTTTGTTTGGTTGGTTTTCAGTTTTGTTTTAGATTCGCTTGCAAATTTCATTTCAAATTTGTAGCTGACTGCTATCTTCAAAGGCTTTGAAAAATATACATACTCCTTCTGAAATCTATTGGCCCCTTCCATAGTTGTAATGATCCTTCTTTTTCCTGGGTGTGTTCAGAGGGTACATGCCTTAAGTTGGAAAGTGCTAAAGAAGAGCTTTCTGCGGCTCAAGGAACCTGCTAATTATGCTGTGGACTTTTCTGAACTGGATATCTAAAAAATGAGGTGCAGAGGGCTGTGAGGGAATAGACTTGCTGATCCAAGTGATCCCTTCTGTCCTGTGCTCCAAACCGGTCTGATGAACACGTGCCATGATTACTGTCATAAAAATGCCAATACTATAACAAAAAATAGCAAGGTTGTTTGTTTGCTTGTTTGTTTTGAGCTAGTATGTTCAGACTTTTAATTTGTATGTGCTACACATTGTCATAAACACATCTCTTCTTGTAATAAACCCATCTCTTCTTACCACTGGTGGAGACATCAGAGGTTACGTTCTTATCAATGGAATTTCATATTTTGTCTAACACATGTTGAAGCACTGTACAGTCAGGCCAGCTTTTGCATTGTTGCTGACTGCAGTGCAAAACAAAAACTGACATGGGCTTCAGTAATTGTTCTGGTTCCAGACAAATTGAATTTTTTTATCACAAAAAACTCTGAAAAGTTAGGGAGCTTTTAAAAGAACAGTTTGAACTGTTGGAACTGATAATTTGAATTAATTTATGTTAAGCAAATATTTGTGATACGTAGATAAGTGGTTTGGTGGCACGTTAAAGAAAACAGAATTGTTATTTGCTTGTTGTCAACAGGGAAGCCACTCCTATCTCAAAGTGGAAGGGTTAAAGGAGGAATTAGCAGCCATATATGTATATTAGGGCAGTATTTTTTTTCTGGATGATGTATTGACAAATGAAGGCAAAACTGTTCTGAGACAAGAAAAGGCTTCTAAATTGCGGGCATCTCTACTTGTAACTATTTCAATAAAATTTTTGTTTTGGTTGGTTCCCATGCCACACAAGTCTCACCTTGTTTTTTATTTATTTCTCTATCTATCTATCTATCTATCTATCTATCTATCTATCTATCTATCTATCTATATCTATTTATCTATCTATCTATTTATATTTTTAAATGAAGAGAATGAGAAGCATAAAAAATAAGCTAAAATCAATCCGTTGGTGGTTTTTTCCCCTCATGATCATGACAGCCTCCCTGGTCTTTATAGGAGTGCCTTTGCGGTCTAAGAAACTTTCACAATTGTAAAAAGGGTCATGGCAAGAAATTTGGACAAAGCCATGCAGAGCCATTTGTTAAGGACATTCTGTATATCTGTGGCCGACATATATACTCCCATTCACACAGCCTTTCCAGGGGTAAATCAAAATCCTGCTGCTCAGGATGTTGCTCACTAACTGCTTATTAGAGGATCCATATTGTATTAAAAATATTGTATTAGCCCTTAATTAAGAAGTTCTGGGAGAAAGATGTGCTTCAGAGACTTGGTTCCAGCAAACACACTACAAATTTCTTCCAACAAGAGTGAGCCTCGTGAAATAGCGGATTAGTGAAACAGCCACCAGAGGAATGATAATTGTGGTATCAAAAGTAATGAAGAGATTCCTGCCCACATAAACTCCTGTAAGTTTGGGACCAGACCTAGTAGAAGAGTGCCTGACAGCCCTTAGAAGAATAAAGTAGGGGACACTGGTGATCTGCAGAGGAAAAAAAGAGTCTAGAAGATGTGGTTTCTGTATGATGGAGGAAACCAGTGTAAAAGGCAATGGGTCTGTATGAAAACAACACCCTTTTAAAGCTATACTGCTGAGAAGAATAAAAGCCTATGGCTGGCACAATAAACAGACATTTACACCTGCACCTAGAAACTAATGCTTCAACAGAATAAAAATAGAGCTGTGCCAATGACAAACAAGAGTCACTAAATATATCACTAACTGAACTGTGAGTTTTCAGTCCAAAATTATTTGTCTCTTCAGAATCAAGGCCACTTATGAAGTATTTACGCAAAAATGTAATCTGTAAAAAAATGCAAATTCTGGCATATACCATTAGACTAAACTATACTTATAATTTATTTATTTTATTACAGTTCATTTCATTATTATTAAATAAACAGTTTGATTTAAAAAATGGGTGTTCTATATCCCACCCAGTCTATACAGTTAGATGATGAAAATAATCTCAGTCCTCAGGCAGCTATAGAAAACGAGGATTTATCCTGCTTTCTGCAAAGGATGCAAGATCTCTGGGACAGCCAACAGCCCCACTCTCTGGTGTTAATCATGTACTGCACCAGAACCGAGTTCTTGCTTCTTGCTTTGGAGTTGTGGGTATGTGTCATCTGCTGGTTGGTTGGTTTTCAGTTTAGTGTGCCTCTGGGAAATTCCTGGGATTGTAATTGGAAGGTTGTCATACAGAGATCTTGTCAATTAATCCACATTTCAGAAATGCAAGTGATAAGTGAAGAAATTAGTGTAATGCATAGCAATAATATACAAAAAATACAAGCCAGAATGAATGGACCAGTTGCAAACAACATTACCAAAAGTTTAGCCAAGTGTTTAAAAGTAACCATGCTGTCAGACCATCACTGGAGAAAGGATTAGCCCTCTGAACACGTGTTTAAATGTAGGTTGAGAAGTGATCAAAACCATTGTCAAAGGAACATACCACGCTTCCAAGCTACTAAGTCCCCAGTCAGCAGTGCAGCTGTACAGACCAGAAGGTGGTGTTCCACCTATAAACATTCTAGCTCACAACTAAGTCCAAAATCTACCTTTTCCTGCTCATTTTCGTTACCTGTGTAATTACAAGTTCTACAGAAATGTAGGGAAGGCTCAGTATGATGTCTCCATCCAATGCATACAACCCAAAGCTAGAAGCTTCTCCATGCCAGGTAGGGGAAAGGCTAAAACAGAAGGATGGGGTGGGAAGTGGTTTGCACCACCTACTAGGGATTTTTTAAAGGTTTGTGCTCAAATTCATTGGAAAGTCATTACATTACTCCATTTTGAAGACCAACATATGCAAGATTATGAAATGATGTTGCAATTCAAAATAACACAATTATCCTTCAACTGTTACTAAAAATAAAGATATTAATGTAATGATTGACATTTGAAAATTTCTAGGGTAAAGTTTTCATAGCACAATCGCATACAATACAGCATATGTTAGCAGAGGTGGCTCACTGAAACTGCTATACCTGAAGTCCCACAGCTATTAAAAATCCATGTGCAGGTCCAGCAGCTGTTCTGAAACCATAGGAACTGCTTAAAGGGAGCTTATTACAGGGCCAATGCACAAAGCAGTCATAAACGGTAGGTAGAATAGCTCATAAGCAATTATGTTACAATGGCATTTAACAAAACAGTTCCAGCCTTACCTTTAATTAGCGTATTTGGGAGGTGAAGAGAAGCCACTTGCCATATGTGCCCCTGAGGTCTCATGAAATCCATTCTTACATTGGAGATATTTAATTTTACAAATGAAAAGTGACTTTTTCATTAGCAGAAAATCCTTCTGAAGGAGAAAATACAATTTTGCTTATATATAATTCATAGGTGGGGAAGTTGTATCAAATCAAAGAGGTACTTTTTTTCTTCCTGAGGAACATGCCACAAAACAAACTAAAGAAACTCATGCGAGAAGGAAAAAGCTATGATTTATTTTGGGTATGCGTTTGGGGATGGGAAGGTACTTAAATTCAAAAGAAGATCTGCAAATCTTTCTTCTGCATCAGTCACTGGCTGCTCTTCTAGTTCAACTTTTTCTCCTGGGAAAACTGACAGAATTATAGGTCTGGCTATTCAGTGACAGAATGGCTTCTGACCTATTACCAGTAAGGAATGAGATCTATGGATAGTGGCATATTTCTGTGAAAACACCAGCTCTGATGTGGCAGTTCACTCAACAACTGCTCAGGTTTTGGCGTAACACACAGCTCACACTAAGGCTTGGCATATACTGGGAGCTATTTGGTCAAAGTTGAGCAACACGTTGGTCATTATGCAGCTGTCATCCCCTGCAGCTTGCTGTCTCCTGCAGCCATCATCCCCTGCATTCTTGCATATTAACCACGGAGAGGTTTCTTCAGTATCCACTAACTTATAGAAATGGCATAGACCAAATGGATTTGATGGTCTTTGTAGACTTGATGTAGACTTCATGATCTTCGGAGGTCCCTTCCAACAGGAACTATTCTATTCTATTCTATTCTATTCTATTCTATTCTATTCTATTCTATTCTATTCTATTCTATTCTATTCTATTCTATTCTATTCTACTTCCAAGCTGGATGGTATAAATATATCAGCTTCCCTGAAAAGCTTCTGAGGTGGATCCAACAACAGCAGCCAAGCTGCCGAGGCTTTTGTGCTTCCTGGTGACAGAGGCACGAGCCCTCTTGCCACCAGCAAGGTAACTATTTTGCTCATAGGCGTGCAAGTTATGAGTTAGTTACGAATTAGAGAATCTGTGAGCAAGAAACTTCATAAATTAATGGAGTGATGACATAGTAAATTCACATTTTAGACAAGTCTTTTAGAGTTCCCTTAGGACAAAAGGCGATTGAGCCCTTGTTTGCCATGTTTGTTTGTCTTCTTTCCTAATGAGCTCATAAAATAAAAATTCATTGACAGGGTACAGAGGTCCCTGTATATTTAAGAGATCCAAATGAACCACGACACTCCCTATTCAAAAGCAATCAACAAAATCAAATAACAGGGATTATTAGGAAAGCAATAGATGAAAGAAGAAAAAATAATAATTAAAAAAAAACAACACTAAAAAGCTACTGTGGACATTTGATGCACTCACATCATGCATATCATATATCATATGCAGGTCCTCCCCTTAAGGAAAGACTGTGTTAGGAAACAAACAAAGGAGGACAAAGACAGCCCAAGCCATGGGATGACTTCTATGCCAAGAATAGCGAAAATAGATTCAAACTCTTTTCAGTTCGGAAAAGAGACAACAAAGGGGGATATAAGTAGCTACAAGATCAGAAATTGAATCAAGAAAGTGCATAGCACTTTTCTGTGGTTCAGGAAATTTAATCAGCCGAGGCTGGGAGGGAGGGCTGAAGGGCAGTGACTCTACAGCCTCTCACATTGCCTGCTAGGCATCTGGTGACATCCTTCGTCAGCAGCAGGCTACTGATCTATATGAGCCTCTAAGCGGCAGAGCATGGCTGTTGTTCTGTTCGATGTACTCGTGTAGCTTCTCATTTTGTCGCTCCCTTCCTGGTCTCACAGGGGAAGCAGGAAATAAGAAGAAACAAGGGGAAAGGCAGCCAGATGAACCTTGCACGCAGCAGAACCTGAATGGCAGAAGCAGGAAGCAGGCGGGACGCTTGTTTGATGTGATGAGCTATCAGTTTTGTCAGTGCCTGTGCCTGCTGCAGGCACTCCGGCTTAAAGAGTGGTGTTTCGTACTGTTTTTTCAGCATCGCTTAAAGCACTCCTCTGAAAGAGGGTGAAGAAGTGCCCAAACAACCCAATGAGGAAAGCACGTTAAAAAATGAAGACACGCTCCCACACTCCAGAGTTTGTGAGCTCCTGGAGGTGAGCCACACTCCGGTGCTGTGGCTGCAGTTTAGAAGGATGAGGTGACCCTGCTTATCAGGCGCTTCTGTCAGCAGTGCAGCCAGGGCAGGGGCATTGCCAGCCAGCGTGGCCAGGGCTGAGCTTTTAACTGAGCAGAGCACAAGGCTGCCCCTTGCAAAGCATCCTTAGAAACCTGGCACAGGTCAGAAACCCTGCTGAGGGGCTTTCCTGGCGCCTAATGGCGGTCGACCTCACAGGCCAGCCTTTCTTTCCGCGGCCAGAGCGGGCAGGGAGAGTTGTTTGTGGCCTCCTGGGGCTCTCACCCCACACCTGCCACCCCTTTTTGAGGGACGGCTCCCCAGGCCCGGCGGCAGGAGGGCGGCGCAGGGCGCACCCCCACCCCGTCAGGCGGCCCCGGGAAGCCGGCCCCGGGGCGGGCACGGCCGCGCTCCGCTTTCGTTTTCGTTTCCTCGGGCGGGGTGGAGCGGCCCGGGGAGGAGCCGCTCGAGGCCGGCCAGGCCGATTGGGACCAGGACCGGGACCAGGACCAAAAGTGGGACCGGGACCGGGACCGGGGGTGATGCCTCTGCTGTCCCCAGCCATGGCGTTGTCCACCCAGGCGCTGCGGGTGCTGTGCGCCAGCGGCGGCAGCCTGGAGCTGAGCGAGCTCCGGCAGCAGCTGCCGGGCCGGCCCAGGGCCGAGCTGCTGGAGCCGGTGCTGCGGGACACGGAGCGCTTCACCCTGCTGCGGCGGCCCGCCGAGGAGGCGGCGGACACGGAGGAGGAGGTGGTGGTGGTGGCCACCAGCGCCCTGCGCCTGTGCCCGGAGCACGGCGCGGGCTGCCAGGGGCGCTGCGGGCGGCTGCACCTCTGCAAGTACCACCTGAAGGGGCTCTGCCGCAACCAGCAGGCCAGGTGAGGCAGCGGGGTGCCGGGGGGGGGCTGCGAGGAGAGGCGTTTTGAGGATAAAAGTGTGGTGGTTTTGTTTTTCACAAGCCCTGGGAGTGCGGATGCGTTGGGCGGGGGTGGTCGGGGGTTTGGGCCCGGCCGGGGGTCCCTGGGTGAGATGAGAGGGGCCCTGCGCTAGCTGTGCCCTCCCGGCACGGAGAGGCCTCGGTGAAACCCTTCCTTCCATTTCCCTGCCGGCCGAGGTACTTAAAGTGCTCTTGTTTTGTCTTTTTCAAGGCAGGCAGGAGAGCTCTCAGCCTTGTTTGGGTTGCAACACTTCCTTTCCAGCCCACCGTCCTATCTGGAGCCTCTGCCACTTCCCTGTAGGGCTAGGGTGAAAGCGCTGTTTGGTCTCTGCCCCGCAGAGGCTGGCGCCTCCAACAAACCCAAATGCTTCGCTTCGTGCCCACAGAGCTGAGCGGGGATGCGCTGCGACCCCAAAGAGCTGAGCAGGGATGCACTGGGATGAGCAGGAGCGAACACTGCCTGGCTTCTCGGGGTTTCCCTGTGCACAGGTCAAGCATGCCGATATTGTCAGGCAGCGGTAATGCTGTAAGGGCTGTAAATCAGAAGTAGCCTGGTAATTACCCTCATGGTAATTTCGTAGTCTGCTGTGCAAATCACGTAATTACTTTAGAAGGCAGTGCTGCAGATTTTTTTTCTGAAACTAACTAATCTGATGTGCTTTTAAAGTTGTTTAGTGTAATATAGATGGGGTAGCACAATTGTGCCAGTACATCACATTCATTTTGCACTTGGCTTTCTTAACGTGTAGGAAGGAATGCAAGTTTGTTCACGACTTCTACACTGACCACAATCACCATGTTTTAAAACGTTATGGATTTGAGAATTTTAGCAGTAATGAACTTCGTCAGCTTCTGCTTCAAAACGATCCCTCCCTCCTTCCTGAGGTGAGCAGTGGTGTGATGGTTCCGTTATGCCTGTTTTGGTGACCCTCACAAAGTGGAAGAGGCTCGATGTTAGCTGCAGATGCTAGGCATCAGTTTAGTTAGCATAATCCAAATGTAAAACTTTAAATCTCTTGTTCTGTTACACAGAAGGTTGTCCCTGGTTGGCAGCTGAGCAGTCACTCAGCCGCTTGCTCCCTCCCCTTTCCCCTGCCCTGTGCAGGACAGTTTCGAGAAAGTCGAAGTAACAGAAGTGTAAAAACATGAGTGAGAGTCTGGCTAAAGGCAGCTTAGTAAGTGGAGGAAAGAGAGGAAGAGATGAAGTGTTGCACGTTCACCCCTGCTCACAAGCAGAGCAATGCCCAGCCTGTCTCCAAGCAACAAGCACCTTGTAAGAGGACACCCCTCAGCCCCTCTGTTTCTATTGCTTTATGTTGTAAGGTATGGGCCATTCCTTTGGCCACTTTTGGTCAGCTATTCCAGCTTTGTTGTTTCCCAGCTTCTTTCCCATCCACAGCCTTCCTGAAGTGTGGGGGGAAGACAAAGTCTTGGCTGTGCAAGCAGTGTTCAGCTACTGATGAACGCTGGTATGTTATCAGCAGTGTTTTGGTCTCGGATCCAAAACAGAGCAGCATACAGGCTGCTGTGAAGAAACTGGAACATGGAAGTTAACTCTATGCCAGCCAGACTCAGGACTGCTTACCACCAAATTTGGTTTGAAAAATTTCACTATTCCTAAACTAGAAAACTGGAGAGTTAGGGTAGTGACAGAATAAAATCTGCTGTCCTACACTTATATGAGACAGAGCAAAATACTATTTGCTTGAGAATGTCAATAACACGGCTGTTTTCTGGTGAAAGATCTTTCTGGACATTAGCAGGGAAAAGGAAAAAACTATCAAGTAATCACTTGGAAAACAAGAAGAAAAACTTGTATGTCTTCTAAATGCAAATGTAAAATTTCTTGAATTCAAACAGTCTGAATATATGTGCATGTTATACTTGAATCTTTAAGTTTTTTTTTTTTTTTTTTTTTCCTTACTCAAGGTCTGCTTGCATTACAACAAAGGTGATGGACCTTATGGATCTTGTACTTTTAAAGAGACCTGCACCAAGCTGCATGCTTGCCAGTACTTTTTGCGGGGACAGTGCAGATTTGGCAGCAGCTGCAAGAGATCCCATGACTTGTTAAAGTCAGAAAGTTACAAGAAACTGAAGAGACAGGGAATAAGCCCAGACATTATTCAGAAACTGCCCTCCATTTATAGGAATATGTATGCCATACAAAATAACAATGGAAGTGTGTATGACATAGAAGATAACAAGTCTTCACCATGCAAAGGTAAATCATATAATCTTTTGAAAGCACCGGAAGAGTCACCATAGTGAATATTCATACAGATGCCATTAAGAAAGAGGAAATTGAATTATGCGTCCTGATGTATCTTTTAGGATGGACTTTGCACCCAAGTCATTGGCAGCGACTTGTCTTAAATTCGAGTGGAGTTGATTTCAAGGCATGGAGAAATATAGTCCTTCGATTTTTTGTTAAAAAATAAATAAATTTAAAATGGGGGTTAGAAATCCATAACTGTAACCTGGAGATCAGGAGATTTTTGATGTGTTCTTCATGAAAACACATTAACAAGGGTAGAGAACCATTTGAGAATAGAAGTCACATTTGTGTGATTATAAACTATTTTCTCATTTTTTTTTTCTTTTAAATAGCCGTTGCCTAGCACAAGAACTCACAGAGCAGTATCCTAGATGCTTCTCAGAAATACAATATTTTGTTTGCTCTTTTCTTTTGAAGTTCCTTAGAATTGTCAATTACTATAATTTAACTGGAAAAAAATGGATTAACAGAATGGAGAATCCACGTGTGTCTATGTTCATCTCTGCTATTCTCCCTGCAGTTATTGTTTCTTTAGGTGTGCTTTGATTTACAGGAGTATCAAATTATGAGACTTTGAATTTTGTATCTGCCTATGTTGAACAACTGCGTGGAATGCACAGATAAGTCCATCGCAAAATGCAGAGGCACTGGATTCTATTCTTATTTTGTGGTGACTGCTAGCAACTGCATCTGAGGAATTCAGCAGCTATAAGAAAGACAAATTTAGGAAGGGTGGATAAGGGATAGGACTCCTGTGCATATGAGGTTATCAAAGACATCTTTATAGCTACACTTGTAAGACGACTAACTGAAACAAAGTGTATTAATAAGGCTTATAATTTCCCCCTCTAGAGAGAAAACACAGCTCTAGCCAGGAGTCTTCATCTACAAATAATGATGAATCAGAACAGATCTGTTTGTATCATCTGTACAAAAGCTGTGGTTTTAAAGGTATGTTGTGACTGTAGCAAGTCCAGTCTGTTTGCATTTTCTGAGAAACTGAAAGCGATAGACGTTTTCCACAGAAAAGGGAAACTTTGAAGCTTATGCTTATATTTAGTTAAATTGCATCGTAATGCTGCGTGCTGGTAAGAAAACATTTGACCGACCCGATGTACCACACAAAAGAGTTGTTTTGTCTTGCTCTGAAATGTCTAATATTGTCCTGTGTTGGAGATTGGCTGCTTTAGCTGGGTTCACCTAAGGGATTGCTGAAAGATGGGTGTCCTGTTGCCAATTAAGTACAAAAGACACTCTGAATTCTGCATTTTCCCTTGTTTTGTCCAGCATTCTTCTGTTGCATCTGTCTGAGCTTGGTATCCCTTTGAAAATGTTCTGACTTGTCCAGAAAAATGCCGCTGTGTGACTTTTTTTGTTGGGATGTCCTTTTGTCATCCTTTTCCTTTTTGATGTTCTTGACTTGTGATAGCTCTGAGGTATTGCACATCTTCTCATACAAACTGTGGCGCAGTCATCTTGACTTTCTGTCGTTATGTTGCCAGTTGCTCTACCATGAAAGCTAACTTGAAGTTTATGCATATGTGTACTGGTGATTTGTTCTTCAGTGCTATTGAGGAATGACTGCATATTGACTCGTTGAGTGATTTCCTGCGATACTGCAACCACTGTTTCTGTTGCTAGTGGAATAGTTACTGCACTCTTAAGCCTATTGACTTTCTGATGTCTTTAAACGAGCTATCTGCTAACCTGAAACTGAACACTATTTTTTTTAGTAATATCTCTGTGGGACTGGATGGTTAATCGTACAAAGCTGGGTCAAGTTTTTCTTGATCATGCTGAAAAATGCTGAACTACTGCTTGTAATGATTCCATAGGTGAACACTTGCCATAGCTGTGCATTTGATACTTTCACCAGCTAAGTATACGTGTGTGCCTCAAATGTGGGAGTCTTCCTCAAAGACTTTAAAAGTAACACATGTCTTATTTTTTCATTTTACTTCCATAGACAAGTGTACCAGAACTCATTTTCACTTGCCATATAGATGGCAGGTCTTTGAAGGTAATACCTGGAAGGACTTCAAGAATATGGAAGAAATAGAAAAAGAATATTGTGACCCCAAAAACATCAGGTATAAACTCTTACAAGATTTAATAGCATTTGGAGTTTGCCCTCTGGACGTGCAATATTGGACCAGGTCCTCAGTGGCTATAAATTGCTGCAATTCTATTGCAGTCATTACAGAACTAGCCTTGTTTGGCATTCTTCTGCTGACCTGGCTTCATTGATCTGCTGTTGCTGGAGATCTGATCCATTGTGATTTATTCATGCTCAAAGTCTGTATAGGACCCCTTGGGTTACCACATGTGGTCTGACTGGGATGGAGTTAAAACTTTCTTCTTAGCAGCTCATACAGCGCTGTGTTTTGGGTTAGTAACTAAAACTACACTCCTGATAGACGAGTGTTTTAGTCATTGCTGAGCAGTGATTGCACAGAGTCAAGGTTTTCTCTGTTTGTCCCTCTCAGCCCTCACAAATGAGTTGGGCTGGAGTGGGCAGGAAGGTGAGAGAGGACGTGGCTACAACATCTGACCTGAACTGGCCAAGGGAATATTCTTTCCCAATAATGTCATGCTCAGCTGTAAAAACAGGGCTAGAAGAAGAGGGATTGAGTTTGGGGGTTTCCAAGGCGGCTGCTGTTCAGAGGCTTGCTGGGCAGTCTGTCCGTGGGAGGTGGGAAGCAATTTGCTTTTCTTTGATTTTTTAAAAATCATTAGTTATTTATTATGTTCCCCTTCTTCTCTTCACTTTATAAGCTTCCTTTACCTTGACCCATAAGTTTTCTTGTGTTTGCTCTTCCTCTTTTCTCCCCTCTGTCCTGATGAAGAGGGGAGGTAAGAGGAGGGGGAGTGAGCAAGCCACTCTGTGGGTACCTGGCTGCTGGCCAGGGACAACCTGCCTCAATTATTTTATGGGAATGATCTGACTCTAGTATTTCTCACTCTGAAAAGGTGGATAAATAGTTCCTAATGCTGATGCCATAGGAAATCTTACTCCTCACTAAGGAAAACCTTAGATGAATGATGATTTGAAAATCTGTCTTTGGTTGAACTTGTCTATACGGTTTGACCCTATGATTAGAAGTAATGTTCTCTTTCACCTCTTGATGTGGAGGATGGGAAAGTAAAGTGGGATTTTTTCTACCCTTTACCCACCCTATCCCTATCCCCACCGTGGACTTGCTAGAATACCTTGTATACCTGAAGAGGAAAAATATGTACAAACACAAGACAGTATTGGTATTGTTGTGGAAACAACAAGTTTGTATTCTGCTCTTGAGTGATGTTGACTTAATTTGAAGATTTGTGGCAGGCTTCTGAAACTATGTGAAAAGCTTCACAAACATTTTTTTTTCTTAACAGATCTAGTAACGTGGTTACTGAAAGTGGCTATGGCTTGTCCTGCATCTCATTTCTGAATATGTACTGTGGGTTCGGAAAGGTTAGACGCCTTTCTACAGCCTCCTCTGTGACCAGACCCCCTCACTTCATTCTTACAACAGAATGGATCTGGTATTGGAAAGATGAATATGGTGTGTGGAAGGAGTATGGAAAGAAAGTAAGTGTGGAGAGCTGGGGAGAATCTCAGCTCTATACTAAGAGTGCAGAATTACTGAGTAGTGCACAGTGTTTGTTTATATCCTGTCTTTTGTCACCCCCTCCCTCTCACACTCACTTCACAGGTGGGTTTTAAAGGTCTAATGAGATGCTTCCCTGTGTATTTGACTGGTTCAGATAGAGTGAGTCATAGTCACTGGTGAGTCATAGTCATTATTGACAGATAATTCTTCAGTGAGTCACGTCAGATAGGATCACATTAATACATTCTTTTCACTGCTCCAAACTAAAACTTCCTTTTCTGAGGTTGCAGTAGCACCCTGTGTCTTTGCTCAGCTCTGTTGGTGAATGTGCAGTATCAGTAACAGTGATCACTGCCAACTCTTTGCCATGTAACTTCAGGCTTCATAACACTCCTTGCTTTGTCATGAGGCAGTTTCCACAGTTTTCAACTGCTTAATAGATGCTTTTTTGCATGAGAGCTGCTGTCACACATAAAGTCTGGTGCAGACTTCAGCCACCTTATGACAGTTGTTAGGTTTTGAACTTGCTTGTATAAAACAGACCAGGAGAATCTCTTTGTTTCTTTTGGTTTTGGCCTGACAGGATGATGATCATGCAGCTGCCACTGTTAACAGTGATGATCTGGAGAAAGCTTATATAGCCAAAAGTACTCCAAAGCTGCACTTCAAAGCTGGAAAACATGAATATGAACTCAATTTTGGAGGTATGTTCCATTTGCCTTTTGTTGTTTTTGTTTGTTTGTTTGTTTTGTTTCTCTCTCTCTTCCTCTATTCCAGGTAATTTATGGTTTTAAACTACATTTGTGCAGGAGGCGATCTTTTCCTCTTGCAAGTCTGATCTGTATTTCCTCACAGAAACAGAACTCCTACCAAAGTTCTCTGGATAAGAATCACTAGTTTCTTCAATGGCATCCTTATTCCTCCAAACCTTTCATTTTTTAGTTCTTGTGTTAGGCTTAAAAATGTCTGCCAGCAAGTGAAAGGGCAACTTAGTTATTGATACTAGTACCAACACTGATGCCTAGAAGCTTCTGGAAGACTTGGCACGCTAGGTTTTGGTCTGCTTTAATCAATGGCTAGCAAAAAATTAATTCTTGGCAAGGTGTGAGATGATTCCTTAGCGTGGCAAGATTTGTGCAGACATTTTCTTTGCAGATCTCTGCCTGTCTGGAAGGGCTGCAGAAATACCTTGAGTGTGTCAAAGTACAAAGATGTGTTTTTCAAGAGTTCAGGAAATTTAAGTCATTTGTTAAGAATATGTAGCTGTCCTCTCTAATGCAGCTGCTTTTCCAAGTGTCCTTTTCAGAGGCTGTGGAAAACGATCAACATGCCTGGACTGTCATGTTGCTTTAGTCGCCTTTGATCCAACTCCCCATTACTATCTAATTCTGCATCAAGAAAACAAGCAGAAAGGGCATATGTTGTTTGCAATTCACTTGAAAGCAGTACTAGAATCTTCTCTATAGAGTAGGGAAACTTGTTGGCTTAGAAAATTGCATAGTAAATTAATCCCTTTCCTAAGGTTTTGGCTTTTTTAGTAACCTAGGCAAATAACTGCAATGGAGACTTCTTCCAAAGCTTGCTTTTGTGCATGGTAGAGCCAAGAGGTGGGTGGTGTTAGTGGTGTTTATTTTGTTGTTGTTTTGTTTTGTTTTACCCTCTGTATCTGTCTCTGTAGATGAGGGCCCATTCTACTGTCTGTTTCTGACTCTTAGTTGCAAATACAGTGTGGCAATAGCTACAAGAGGACCTAACATCCAGAACATGATGACTTCAGGTTGCTGTAATTTGTCTCTGGTGGTGGTCACTAATGAATGGCCTATGACATCTATTAGCTTTCATTTATAGGGATGGAAATCTACAGATATATGTAGGAAGACAATATATTGATTGCAAATTGAGAAGGAGGGGATACAATCCATGGAGAAAAAGTAGATATTTATTTTACAATGATCCTTTTCATAGAATCATAGAATCATCAAGGTTGGAAAAGACCTTCAATATCATCAAGTCCAACCATCAACTGACCTACCAACTGACATGACTAAACTGTGTCCCTTAGTGCCACATCTGCACATTTCTTAAATGCCTGCAGGGTTGTGGACTCCACCACTTCCTTGGGCAGCCTGTTACAATGCTTGACCACCCTCTCATGAGGAAATTCTTCCTAATGTCCAAACTAAATCTCCCCTGGAGCTACCTGAGACCATTAAGATAGGAGATTTTCAGCTGAGTAAAGCAAGTAAGTTTGAAATCTTCAGCCCAATGAGGAAAAGACTGGCCTAGCACCTCTTGCTGATCCAACTCGTATTTCCTATCTGCCTCAGACTGCTGTAATTGTGAATAAATGTGAAACAAACACTGATGCATCAAGAAAAAAGTAGCTAAGATCAATGCAACTCACTGTCATAACCAAATACATCTTCAGTAAAGAGTAGATGATGGAACAATGAAGGGAAAATATTCATCCAGTGTCTATCATTCCTTATAAAGCTTATAAAGCAAAACTGAAACTGGAATCCTTCTTGGAAACTTGAATTCTCTTTGAGCTATACAGATAGACTGTGGGTTCCACATCCTCCTCGGGGTTCCATGTCTGTGACAAGATGAAAAGCTTGGTTCCTTTTTTTTTTCATCATTTTTGGCAAAACATCTTGTCAAATTTTGCTGTATTGCAAAGACTTCCTGAAACACCGTGCTGATTGTTCTGTGTCCGGGTTTCAGGACAGGCTCGGATAGAGTTAATTTTTCAGAGAAGCTGGTATGGTGCTGCTGCATGGATTTCAGATGAAAATAATGTTGATACTACAACATATTTCAGTTATTACTGAGCAGTGCTTACACTAGTCAAGGACTTTGGGCTTCTCGTGCTGCCCCGCCAGCAATGAAGGTGGGTGCACGCAAGAAGCTGGGAGGGGGCACAGCCAGAGCAGCTGACATAAACTGACCAGAGAGGTATCTCATGCCACATGGCATCATGCTGAACAATAAAACGGAGGGGAGCTGGCTGGGGGGGGGTTGCCATTACTTGAGGACTGGCTGGGCATTGTTTGGTGAGTGGTGAGCAATTGTGTTGTGCATCACCTGTTTGTTTTAATTATTAATATTACTGTTTTTTTTCCCTTTCCAATTAAACTGTCCTCATCTCGGCTCATGAGTTCTTGCACTTTTACCTTTTTTTCCATTCACTCCCCCATCCCACCGTGGGGGAGTGCATGAATGGCAATGTGGTGCTTTAGTTGCATGCCAGGTTAAACCACAACTTTTTTTTTTCTTTTTTTTTTTTTTCTTTTTTTTTTCCAGCCATGATTCAGAAAAACCTTCGCTATACAACAGAGAGAGAAGTTTGCAGAAGACCTAAATTTGTGTCTCAGACAGACGTAGAAAAGGCCAGAGCAAGGTAAAGTACATGCAATTGCTCATTCTGGGGTGATGTGTAATAAGTAGTGCATCGTGAATGTAGTATCTTGAAGGGTGTTAAGGTGAAGGAGGCAGTTACTGTTAAGTAACTGTTAAGGCAGTTGGAGGAGGGACATAACCTTTCCTACATCACTGTGTAGCCAGGTCAGTGTTCCAGCCTGGCCAACAGATTTAAAGCAACTCATAAGCCTTGGGGGTGACCGCCTTTGGGCATGGTCACAGAAAGTAGGAGATAATTCAACTTGTAGCAATGCTGTGAGGAGCTGCTTATTACAGGGAGCTGTTGTATTAAAGCAGCTGATACACATGGAAGCAATACAGTTTACGCACACCAACCTTTTCTGACATCTGAGATCTGTTTTCAAAGCTAGGTATGAGTTTAGAAACAATTATTGTGAGAACAACCAGATGATCTGAGGTACATAGTAGTTGGCAGAGGCGGAGACAAAAGATGGGATTCTAAAAAAGAAGTTTTATGTAATTCCATGTAACAAACAGCTTTTTTTTTATGCCTTCTCTTGCAGCACACAGTGGTTTCTTTAAACAACACAAGAAGGAACAGCTAAACATACTAACTGAAATGGGGGTGGAAGTAGCAGGGGAGGGCTGTATCTGTCCTGTTTCTGACATACGGATATGATAGTAGATGCATTTTTAAGTACTTACCCCAGTTTATCAAGGCTTTTATGTGTAGATTCAACTCTTTGCAACTAAGAGAACTAGTTTCATCTTTAGTTCAGCGTATATCTAAATTCCTTGTTCATTTGGCATCTTCCTTCCTGCCATAAGTCTTGACATAATGATTTGGAAAAATATTTTCATCTGCTGAACTAAAAAGACAATTTTGAAATGTTTCTGAATATGTTAAGTTGCCTGTATTTTCTCCAAACTTGGCAAAAATGTTTAGTATCATATGCATATAAAATGTACGTATTTGTTGTGTTTTAATTGCCTGTTTGTAATGTCTTTTAATGTACAGGGGCTGTAAGCGTACCGAAGAATTTAAGGGTATTCCAGCTCACTGGGACAAATCCGCCCTGCCTGACCTGGGATTCAAGGTTTGGAGGTTTTTGTTTCATCTCTTCATCTTGTTCTTGTATGCAGGTTTGTTATGTCACAGTGCCCTTGTAGATGACTGTTTCATATGTAACATAACGCAGAGGTATTGGTGAGCTTGAGCCTGATATCACATTGGGCGAGCCTAGAGGTGAAACTGGAACCAAGTTTAATCTAGCAAATAGTGGCACTGTAACTATGGCAGCATTAATTTTCACTTCTACATATTAATCCCAGTCCTTGGCAAACTGGCCTGAAGGCAAATTACTGTATTAGCAAGACTGTTACTGATGCCCAAGATGCTTAGCTTTAAAAACAGTCCAGCAAGTCATGAAACATCAGAGATGAATTGTGCCTCGGAACTTAAGGGTAGCCAGTCCCTGATGTTTATGTAAGTAGACAGCTGTACATCTATGGAGCACTGCTGAAATCAGGTTGGCATGAGGATGTTAGCATAACTCTAGTGAACTTTTTTTACCTCTGTAACACAACCAGTTAATAGCTGCATGACTTACCTTTGACTTTTTGCCTGTCTCCACCACCATCTCTGTTAACTGTAGTAATTATGCCTACAGAAGAGTTCCGTTATGAATCATTAAAATGGCTAGCCTGAAAAATGTAAGGTGCACGTCCTCAACAAGTTGTCAGTAAAGAATGTCAGCATTAGCCTTCCCTATTTTTGATGTTTTTCATGGAAATGTGCAACTAGAAAACCTTGCTTGCTTTCAGGATTGTTATTTCAGGAACTGATTTTTGGCAGCATGTCCCTACTCTTCCCTAAAATGGTTGATCAGATAAAGCCTTTTCAATTTATTTCAAAACCTGACAGGCAGTAGAGTGTTTGTGTTCACTGGCTGTAGAGAGATAAACTATAAAGATTTAAGGATTATGGGTGTAGAGGTACTCGTTGATTTGCTGCAACATAAATTCTTTGTTCTTTGTATTTATGTTCTCATTTCTTCTGTGTATATAGGTAGTGTTCAATAGGTGCATGCACATGTATCTTGGCACAGAGAGCAAAAGGGGCTGGTTGCACAAAAGTATGCAGCTCCTTCAATGTCCTGTGAGCAAGCAACCTGGGTGTCTTAACCCTTAGTAGTTCACGTTCCCTAGCTGAGTTCACTTTTAGAGAGTAGGGATCTCTAATCTGCCTTTTATCCAAGAGTATTTTTGCTGTTCGTGTCTCTATTTCACAGAAAAGACTTTAAAGGTCTGAGTAGTGCACTAGGTAGGGTGGCTTTGTTATGATTTAGTAAAAGATGAGAGCAGCTTTTTAATCTCTTTCCCTACAGCTGATTGATCTTGACAGTTCTTCTGATGAATACAAGAAAGTCAAGGCAGACTTTCAACGCACAATGCCAAAAACAGTTATTAAAAGGATTCGTAGAGTTCAGAACCCATCTCTCTGGGAACTGTATCAATGGTACGTGTAAAGTACTGCTCTGGTATGTGTGTATGAAGTTTGTTGTCTCTGTAGTTAGTTGTATGCTAAAGATAGACAAGCGTTCCTGAAATGCAGCTGCATTTCACAATCTGTTTCCACTCCCCCACTGAAATACCTAGCCAGAATCAACACATAGATAAAGATGTACCAGCAAACCAGAACCCAATCAAGACGTAGAGCTCTGAATAATCAGATGAGCTCGGTGGGAGGAAACCTTTCTTCTGAGCAAATAGTTCTGATGTCTGCCAGGCCTGTGTCTAGGCCAGCTGCTTTCCACTGAAGCCTTGAAGCTGGAAGTCAGTCACGTCTGGAGCTAACACTGTTTTGAAACTGGTCAGAACTGAAAGCTTTTACAGCACAGTACAACACTTATTGAGGGAAAGCCTTAACATGAACTCATGTGTTTAGCAGGTAATGGTAATCTCCCCTCCCTCCCAAGCAGTGAAAGGAACAAAACATTTTTAATATTAAATATCTGGAGGCATTTATGTACAATGAAAGCATATTCGAACCCAGCAAGAAAACACTGTACTGTGTCCGTCCAAAACTTAGGCATTTTCAGAATTTGTCTCTGAGCGTTAGTACAGCTGGAACCTGTCTAGTCACTGCGGAACTACAATGATACTGCTTCTCATTGCAGGCAGAAGGAAAAAATGCAGAAGAGCAATGGTGGAAAGACAGATGAGCGTTTCTTATTTCATGGGACCAGCAAAAAACACATTGATGCCATCTGTCAGCAAAACTTTGACTGGAGGATCTGTGGCCTTCATGGGACAGTCTATGGCAAAGGTTGTTTTTCAGCTCTTTCATTAACCTTAGGCTTACTAAAAAAATCCCAGTAGCTACTACAGAGGTATAAAGTTAGAAAGGGGGCACTTGGCCATTCTGGGGCTTGTGATGAACAATATGTGTGACTTTGGCAACAATCATTTGGAGCTATGGCATAATGAAAGGCCTTGGCTCCTGTGCTCCATTCTGTCCTTGAACAAAAACAAACAAGCTTAGTCCAGGCCTACTTCTGTTGCAGTTTCTCCCAGTTCCTGCAAAAGGCAACATGGCATTAATTGTTTTTTGCCAGGAGCATAAATGCCATCCTGGTTACAAGCTTTTTGCCTTGTTAGAAAATTATATTCCTACCCACTGTCCTGTATACAGGAAAAGATCAACTTACCAAGTGGAACAGTCACGAGACAGGCTGACTATCCATCCATGCAGCTGAATACTTAGAAACTATCTGAAGCAGTTTTAATGACTTTTAGTAGCCACTATCAAGAGAGGAATTTGGGTGAGAGTGGGGAAGGTGGAAGGTTGGGGGTCAGGAGGAAAGTCTTTGAGGAATATGATCATGTTTAAAACATCACTTCTGTGGCTCTTTAACGTGTATGTTATGGAAAATAAAAGTGTAGGTAATACACAGTGGTTATTTCCACTAAAAAGGACATACAGGACAAGTGAAGGCTTTAGAAGGGTCATTCCTGAACTGTTTCATGGTCATGAGTGTGCTTTTACATTATATCCTATCTTTCCCTGCAATTCTGGTGTCTTACCAACCCTGTCTTGGTGTCTTTTCTGCAGGAAGCTATTTTGCGAGGGATGCGTCTTACTCTGACAACTACTGCAGGGAAGACTCATCCCCCAAGACCATGTTTCTGGCACGGGTGCTGGTGGGAGAGTTCACTCTTGGTAATTCCTCGTATGTAATTCCTCCCTTGAAGGATGGCCAGAACTTCTATGATAGTTGTGTGAATAACTTTTCAAACCCTTCTATCTTTGTCATCTTTGAGAAGCAGCAGATTTATCCAGAGTATCTCATAGAATATGTTGACCAGATAAGTGCAAGACTGTGGTAGCAGCAAAACAAATCACTGTTATGTTTAGCTCTTACAAACACTTTTCTAGTGTTGGCATAACTGAGAAAAGCGATTTTTGTAAGTTGTGTACTTGGGTAGGTGAGCAGTTAGATGTTTATTCTCTCTATCCTTCCTGTGCAATAGAAAACAAGGGGTAAAAAGACACAAAGGATGTTTTAGAATTAAAATCCTCAGTCTGTCTCCTGTTTTTAGAAGTTATCAGCTTTTCCTGTATTCCTAGTATTCTGAGGCTCCTATGCGTTTACTAGATGGAGCCTCTGATGGTTATAACATAAAGATTGGCTGTGGCTGCCAAGTTTAAATAACATTTTGTTACAGTTGTTTCAGGATAGATCTTTACCAATGTTCATCGTTCAGAGGTTGTCGCCTTCTACCTTTTTAACTCAAAATTTGATAAAACCTTTTTTAATAGTCTACAACAGTAGGCATTAAAGCGTTTGCAAATGAGACTGTACAGCCTGTCTCTTGTAGTTAACTCTTTGTATAAATTTTTAGCAGCACTGTTTTTTTTTTTGTCCCTACATAACCAACAAAGTCTTGAAAATTAAAATTTCATTTGTTGAACAGGAACAGAGACTTATTTTCTCTTGTTAGTTTTCTCATTTAAAACAAGTAGCAAAGATATGAACCAGAACAAGGGTTGCTTTGAGCTGTGATACTTAAGCAGCTGACTTTTATCAAGTCACTAACTTCTTTTTTTAGGTTTGTGAGAGTACAAAGTTTTCATGCCTTTTGCTGTGCCTACAAATGAGATAGTGCTGGCAGGTGTGGGGTGAAGAAAAGAGAAGGCAACTTCTCGTTTAAGACTATCATGCTTAGGAGTGAAATGCAGTGCTTGTATTTGATTAGCAATAAACTGTTTATTAGAAGTATATTCATAGTTCTTTTATAACTGCTGCGAAAGGCAGGGAATGACTATCTCCTGCTCTCATTAGGGGTACTGCGCCTTTAGTTGCAGGAGACATGCTGGTTACCTATGTAATCAAGGTGTCAGGACTTCCTTGCTGGAAAAAAGTAGTTGACTGTGAGTAGTCTTCAGCCAATGAGCTGAAACTTCTAAAATCTCAAGATTAAGTCGAATAAGTTAATTGTTCTCAGCAAAAGATGTTGTATGTTATTAGTGTTGTACAGTTGGCATATGCAGATAATCAAAAATCTTGAACTGTCAGGTCTTTCTTAAGATTAAAGTTGCTGATGCATAGATACTTACATTCTGCATTTACCACTGCTTTAATGCTCCTAAAAGAGTACTTATTAGCTGTAGTTTACCACAAATCTTTTAGAAAGCCTTTTTGTCGTAGACAAAACCTATGAAAATGATGAGGGGATCTCATCGCCTTCCTCTTCTGAGGAAAGGCTGAGAGAGATGGTCCTGTTTAGCCTGGAGAAGAGTAGGCTGAGAAGGGATCTTATCAATGTATATAATAAATATCTGAAGGAAGGGCGTCAAGACATCAGGGCTGCACTCTTTTCAGTGGTGCCCAGCAATAGGATGAGAAGCAATGGGCACAACCTGAAACACAGGAAGTTCCATCTAAACATGAGGAAGAAATTCTTTACTGTGAGGGTGAAGAGCACTGAAACAGGCTGCCCAGAGAGGTTGTGGAGTCTCCTTCTCTGGAGATGTTCAAAACCTGCCGGGACTTGAGCCTGCTTGAGCAGGGGGGTTGGACTCCAGGCGTCCCTTCCAACCTGTGACAAAACTTCTGTGATTCTGTGACCAAAAAAAGCTTCTCTCTACCTGTATTCTAGAAGTACTTTTTAATTCTTCTGAATACTGGTTGACAGGTGTCTGTCAGGCAACTTTTTATTACTTCAGTGCTGTATACCAGGAGCTGAGCTGTGATTAGCCAGAAGAAGGTTGTGCAGAACACCTTTTTATATGAACTGTAAAACTTAGCAGCATGATACCTGAATGAAAATACCCCTTTTCATGTTTAAACCCAGTAAAATTCAGTAAGTATGTGGAAAAACAAGTTGACTGTGTTCTTTCTCTTGAGTCTAATGAGTCTAATGTCAGCAAATAATAATTCACTGAAGACAGTATAGAATCATAGAATCATTCAGGTTGGAAAAGATGATCTAGTCCAACCTTTAACCTAGTACTAAAGTCCACCACTATATCATGCTACTAAGTTCTAAATCTACACAGCTGTACGATGTATAAAAGCTCGAGGTACTTGTGCAGAAAAGATTTTCTGCCAAAACAAAGACATGTTCATCAGGATGTTCACGGCAAATGAGAATACTGATGGCATGTGCCTTTCTTCTGAAATAGCTGAAGTCATTGTTGACTACTTGAACCAAGTGAAAAGTCATTACTCTTCTGCCAGAAAACGGAAACAAATATTTTTTCATGCAAAAAGTTGAGATATTTTTAATAACAATTTTGATGGCTAATTTGGATAAAACCATTAATATTTTTAAAACCTTTATTCCTGGGGGGAAATAAATGGGGAGGTGGGTGTCTGTGTGTGTGAGTGCATGTGTGTAAATGTGTGCATAAGTAAAGTAACCAACCTGAAGAAAATGGATGGGTGTGTTACTTTGTCATCTCTTATTTCTCTAGTAACACCCAAAAGAAAAAAATCACCATGTTTTCCACTTTTGAAACTGCAGTGGTAAATGTCTTGTGTATGACAAATAAAGAGGTATTCGAACCACTAAATTTCTTGTATTCCTCTCTCCTCTGTCTAAGAGCACTGTGTTTGATGACCTTTATGAGTTCTTGGAAACTTCTTAAAGATGTTGCTGTTAAGTAGTGGAATCTCTGTACAGCTGTCAGGATTTAATTTAGAAATGAACTGAGTTAAAAGTCGTTTGCATTAAAGCTAAACTTTAAGCAAAAAAATGGTATTGAGCCTCTTTTCTGAGTAATAAGGATCTCTCTTTACTACTTAAGACAAAGGAAACAGCATGAACAGCATAATAGTCTTTCACTCTCTCTTCCCCTCTCTCACTCCCGTGCCACACGAGGAGAAAGATAAGCTGTGGAGGTTGTTTCCTTTTCCTAGTAGCAGGTCTGTTCTGCTAAGATAGATGGCAAGCCTGCAGAAGCCAAACAGCTTTCCTATGCCAGCAGTGCAGTGCGGAGCACAGTAACTTATGGCTTGCCCCTTCACCAGGCTGGGCAGAGGTCTGACAGGCAGCCAAGGTCAACCCCCCTTTATGGTCAGCTTATGAGGCTGACCTGTAATCAGGCATGTCCGGATATTCTGCCTAGTTTTTATAAACTGTGGTAGTCAAAGTCCTGTCTACCAGTGGCAGTAGCAAAGGAGTGGCAGCGCACCAGCGAGTCGCGATACCTGCAGCAGGGGTGGTGGATAAAAGGAGCTTCAGTGGCTGACACCAGCTGGGGTACTGTGTTCAGTGCTGCGTGGCTTGGAGAGGACTTGCACCCACATTCACCTCTTAGAAACCATTGCTCAGAGCTGCCTCTGAGCTGAAGGGCAAGTGAGAGTTGTGGAGATGCTGCTTTACTAGGTGTGCTTTTTCCAACACAAAATCCAGGGGGGATGACTTACACAGCCACGGTGATTGGTACTTACTCATTTCACTGTTTCATACCCACGGTTATTGGTACTCACCCATTTTACCAGGCGGTAGGCTTTACAGACCACGTCCAACTGGCTCCTAAATAACTCCCTGGCACGTCCCAGGCTGGTCTAGTCACAGACTCAGCTCTACTTGCAAAAATCCTAGCAATGGAGGGAAACCTGCATCCCGCCTTGGACACAGCCACAGCACCCAGCAGTGCTGGGAGCGAACTTCTTAGGGACTGATCAGACATCAGAGCAGGGCCAGTGTGAACCAAGCAATGAAATAAAGAGCTCATAAGTCAGTCTGAGATTCTTTTGGCATATTTACTATTGTAATTGCACAGAAGGCTCTGATAGTAGGTGAAGCTGTGTCTAAGATGGAAACATCATTTAACAAAAGGAAATGAGAAGTTGGCCATTTAAGAAAGTGTCACATACAGAGGAAATGCAGTGGTTTTATGCCAAGTTAGAATAGAGCACTCACATTTGCAATCAATCCAGCATAATAATTTGTAATACCTGACTCTGTTTTTCCAAGGATACTGAAGTACAAAACTAAAGGTTTTCTATCATCTCAGCAGTCTCATTAAAAATACTATTTTATACCAACAGATTTCAGTAATGATTGCAAAGTCCCAGAAGATGTTTTTAATAGAAGCTTTCCATTACCAAGCAGCCTTTGCTTCATATCATGTCAGAGACTGACTAGGACCCATTTGTAAAACAGACATGCCCAATTTTAAACATGCCCACAGCTCAGCAATGCAAGACAACACACTTACTGTTTCTGAGGCGAGAAATTATTTTAAACCACTTTCCTTATTCCTCCCCAGAATGAACTGCTGTTCTTAGAAAGAAGTGTTTTTGTACCAGAAATGTTAACTCGCCCTAACTTTAGGATACAAGGTTATGTTTTGATGTTGCAACCATAAATGTACCATATATATATGTATATATGTATTATTGTTATTATTGACTTCTAGAGCCAAATCTGCTCAGGATCACTTTGGGACCATGGTATATAGGGTCGCAAACACCCTGTGATTACTACTCTGTTACCAGTTCCTTTTTGGAGCACTGCTGTCAGTCTCCTGTTTCGCTTTTTGCCAATGCTTCCAGGGGACCAGAGCAGGGCTGTTCCCGCGACACAACTCTTTCCTTAGGCATGTTGCTGAGCCCACACAGCCTGGGAGAGGCCCAGCATCATTAAGTCTCCCAGTAAAACGGAAGACTGTGCAGTGTCTGGTGGCTGTATCAGCAGCTGTTGTTTAAGAGGAAGAAATGGTTTGGGGCTCTTGCTGTATTACTGGAAAGCTGGCATCCTGTTCTCTGTCTTCTCTAGCTGTCTCGCTAGGCCTGCGTGTAGAACAAGGGATGACGTACTTTCAGAAATCTGCCTTGACTTACAGATGCAAAAAAGTATTTCCTCTGTTCTATACCACTACAGATTGACGGGTGAAAACAGACACTACTTCCTTTACAGCCTAGCCTCTACAGTTTGGTCTTGTTCCCTTTTTGAGAAGGTAACCAAAACTTTTGCAGGGGAGCTGGAAAACAATGACTTTAGCTCACACTCAAGTGAGTTTATTTGCATGAGTACTGTCTGAGTTCAGCTTAGAAGTAGCTGGGAAAGACTCTCAGTGCAATTTTTTTTTTTTTTTCCCAGCAGAGTCAGCATGGCATTCAAGATGATAGCATTCTGTTCAGCCCCAGAAACATGAGTTGTTCGGCTACTCTACACGAGTGGCACTGTCTCAGATAAATACTGAGAGTACAAACAAGGTTCAGATGAGAAGGCAAGATAACTGCTGTTGAGATAAGAAAAGCCCATAAAAAAGCACACACCAGTTTCATTTAGGTTGCAATAATCATTCCAAAATGAAGCACACAAGGACCTGATTACATACGGAAGAAAGACAGTAAAAAAAAAAAATTAAAAAAATGAGGAGATGAACAAGCCTTTAATGGCTGAGTTATTTAGACTTTGGCATGAGCTTTCTGCTCAGTCAGGTAGGTAGGAAGTTTTTAGGCACGGATCATCCAACTTTTTGCCATTTGTATATATAAGGTGGCCAGAAAATCATCTGTCAGCACACCATTTTCAAGAGGAAAAAGTGATGAATAACATGTAGAAATTAGAATATATACACCCTGTTGCTTTACAACTAGCAGTCACTCCATCACTAATCCATATAATCACTGTCTGTAATTGGGCACTTCTGTTTAGCATGACAGGGATGCTACTTGGAAATAGGAACAAATCCATGAATGCCATGTTAGTACTTCACTGCTACCTCTACAGTTCTGACGAAAAAAAAAAAAAGAAATCCCATGAAAGAAAAAGACAACGCCTTCCAAGAGCAAGATACAGTAATTTGATCAGCGTTAAGGCAGCATGTGGGAAGAAGGCAGCAAAAGGTGCTTGTTGGAGAGAAACTACAGCTAGGGATCAGCGAACAGATGGCTCCTTCCAGCAATCCTTGCAGAGAAGCTGAGCAGTCAGTCTCTTCCCACTGCTGCCGTGGCACTTCTCTGTGCATCCCACCAAGAGACATGCTGTACTTAAGGAAACCTCTAGCAGAGTATATCAACAGGCAGAAAGTCAACACTTGTAAGGAACTGAAAGGTGCTTCCTTATCCTTACAATTCCAGAAGATGGTTTTTTTTGTTTGTTTATAAAAATTAAAAACAAACCAATGCCTAAAAAAAAAAAAAGACCCTCAAATTGAGATCATCTCCTATAATGGTTTTGTTTTCTTGCTGTACAGCCCCTTGAAGTTTTCAAGTCTATCAGTCACTGCTGTATGGTGCCCTACGAGTTGTGTGGTGATTGAATAGGTTTGTAGGGGAGCAGGAAAGAGCATGGGGGGAATGTGAAGACAGGAAGCATACTGCAGCTCTGGCTGTGAAAATGATGTGCACAGCCATACAGCTTGAATTGATCCGTTGCTGTAGCAACTGGTAATCCCACCTGAGTGGAGTGAGGCACTTGGGACATGACCTGCTCCAGAGTCACATAAGTCAAAAGAGCTGCTGAGACTGATCGTCCTGGATCCCACTCCCTGGACATTGGCTTTAGTGCTTGCAGCACTGTTAATTTCCTTGAGTCAATGAGCTAGTCAATGGTGTCAGCCGCAATGCTTGGAAAAGAAAGGCCTCACAGCAGTGAAGCAGACATTATACCAACATCTTCTGATTACCCTTAAACCTTCCCCAGTCCTCCCGCTTCCCTTAAATTCATATCTTATTTTCCTCCACCTTTCCAACATCAGTTCAGTAACCAGCGAAATGGCTACCATCTCATTTCTTTGGTCTTTGTTGCTGGAACTTAACTGGGAAACAGGGGAATTCTTCACTCCTTTTCAGTCATGTCGATGAAACGTGCTAAGTGCAAATTTTTAATTTAAGTGTATATCAAAACATTTCAAAAGCATGAAGAAGGTGCTGCTCTTTCCACTTTACAGACATAAGGAGAGGTTAGGTGTGCAGGAGACTCAGCTTTGATTTTCAGCACAGTTCAGGATAAAATCCAATGCACTGAATTTCAGCTCTTCTGCTATAACTGTGATGCCTCTTGGGCTTTTTCTGGAGTAGGGATTTATAAGTGCATCAGCAGAATGTGTCAGATAATGAATGGTAATTAAAACCTATCGTAAATCTAGTGTACACTTAACACCTGCTCTGCTCACTGAATTTGAGCATTGAGAAAGCCTCTTACAGATGAGTGAAAGGAAGTGTAATGTAGAAAAGCTAGTGAGAGTGGCTTGCTTCTTTACATACACTATTCACAGCAATTTGAAAACCACCAAGTGACTGTGAAGCCCAGACCTCGTTTTAAAAAGTGATTCGAAGCTCTCCCATAGGAGGTCAGTCAGACAGCACCTGCTGTGGGACTTAGGCTCCTACTTGTCATTGGGGTTTCGAAAAATAATTATACCCAGTGAGTCACTAAACAAGGGGTTCTATCCCAAGAGGTTTCAGGATGTACATTTTCTTTTAGCGAGATTCTAGTGTAATGTAGACTCCATTTTTTGGTCCAAGTGTGGCTTTCGATTTCAGTTGCAAAGGAATCTGAAAGGCAAAAGAACATCTTATGTACAATGGTATGTACTAGTTTGTGTGTACATAACAGCCCCACATACAGACAGCCATTTTTGCTAGGGGACCAATTCATACCAGTATTACTGTAGAAGCTGTAAAGTGCTTGTTTTACAGTCAGCTGTGGTAGTATAATATTAAATAGAATTTATAGCCAGAGGCTGAGGCAGTAGTCGCCCAGGTATATTGTAGATCTGAACAGAAAGAAATTAACTCTGTAAACTCTCAAGCTGCTGAGTAAATGGCAGGTGCAGTATATATAGTAATAGGTGTATACTAAAGTGCTAAGGTCCTAGGAAAGATGTACACCTATCCTCACCCCATATAAATCAATGGATTTCGACTGCAGTGTTGCTACACTGCTCCCCACCAAGACAGAGGTGTGTAAGTTTTGTTTTATTGCAAAAATCATAAGGGCAAATACATTTTGATTAAAACATGTAGTCCAGGTCTCTTGTCCCTCCTTATTACGGAATTGGCTCTAGCGGTTCACTCTAATGAAGAGAAAGCCATAAAGACAAGTCAGTTGTCCTGTCTAGGACACACTGCCAACCCACTGAAGTTGACAAGTAAGGCTTTTAAGCCTCTGCACATACAAACCTCAGTCTCTGGGCAGATCTTAAATCGAAACTTCTGCAAAACCCTTAGCAGAGTCATTTTGGTCTCCAGTAAACCCATCTTCATGCCAATACAGCCACGGGGTCCTGCCCCAAAGGGCAGATACGCAAAGGGATGTTGTTCCTTCTTGGCCTCCTCTGTAAACCTAGAAGGTGAAGAGGTAGAAAACAGTTCAAGAAATGTTTTTTACTCCTGATTCTATGTTATTTTATTCACATCTCAGAAGTGGTTATTTGTATTGCTCTTAATGGACAGACCAATGGGACTATTGACAGATTACGTACTGATGGGCAGATACCCTTAAGTCAACTGATAACTGGCTTATGGGCATCAGCCTTTTTCAGCTGGTGATTCCAGGAGAGGACATTAGTACTACTTGACAGACATTAGTACTACTTGCTACCTGTCTTCAATGAAATGCCTTCATTCAATGAATTACATACTAGATGTGTAGACATGTCCATGTTTCAGGGAGAGATTACAGGTAAGAGGAAGCCAACAGACTGGAATGCAAACTATGTAGGATTAGCAAGTGTTTCCCTGCTGTGCAATGCAGAAGCAAACCAATGGGAATTGGTTTTAGCCTTCCTGATTTCTCTTTGAAGTTTGCAAGGGATGATGAAATCATCTCATGGGATTGGACAGGCCATAGAAGACAGTTGTTATGATTCATTGCAGCTCTTCTTTCTGCTCTTGGCCCAAAGAGACCAGATTCCCAGCTGGGAAGCACTGAAATTGCAGACCCTTCTGTTTTTAGAGCTGAAGTACCTCAGTCTACTTGGAGAGACTGATTAACATGACAGTTTGCATGCATCAACTAGGTAGCTCTAAAATATTATATCAATCCATTAGAAATTAGGTTATTTTTTTTCCCACAAGGAACTACTATTTGAATAGTGGTTGAAAGGAAAAAGGTAAATGCTGTTTGCTGACATCTACAAAGATGGATGTATACTGGACAGAGTGTGCTTGAATCAGTGTAATTTATTAGGGTCAGCAAATAATCAACAAGGTGAGGCTCTAACCTGGCCCACAATGAGTCACTGATAAGAAAAGCTCCTTAACACAAGCAAACCTTCACAGTGGTGGCATTGCCCTGGAAATCTACATAGTCCTCCCAGCTCACAGGGTGTTTGAAGCTGTTCTGGTAGTAGAGAACTATTTGTCCAGTTCTGCATGCAGATAAAGGTTCTACAGGCATTCTTGAAAATCTTTTGCCCACTTGCACACAGTTTGCAAGAACTTTAGACTTCCAAGGCCCAAAGAACTCTTGAAGTAGTTAGAGATGTGAAGTAATACAGGCAATTCTGAGATCTTGAAAAAAAATAACACTGCATATTTCTGCTAACCCTATCTCCATGCTTAGGTACCTAAATCAGATTTGTATACTACTCCATGGATACTTCCATGCAAATGGGTTAATGTGATTCTTGCCTTGCTCACCCTCATATATCATTCTGGTAAATTTAAAGCCTGCCTTGTATTATTCCTGAGGCAGATTTCAAAAAGAAATATTAGAGGGAAAAATGACCATAGCAGAACTAATTTATTATTTGTTAAGCTCTTATTTTATAATTCTTACTAACATTACCAACTGATATAAGCTGGGGAGGGTGTTAGTAATTATGCTTCATTCCTCAGGGAAATTTCCAAAGGGAATTCATCTCAGATTCATTACATACAGCACTGTATGAGTCAATGGGACTGCAGCCACCATTTTACCCCATAATGCACTTTCATACCACTGTTAAGGTGTTGAATAAACAGTTAAGACAGCATTTCTAGATAAACTTAGCTCAAAACAAACAAACAAAAAACACCTACACTTCCAGTTATTGCTAAGATTCCTCCTCAAAAAAAAAAAAAAAAAAAAAGGTCTGAGCATCCATAGCCCTGACATTACTCTTCTTCATGACTTAAGGTGCCTGGTACAGCATATACCAAAATTTGCTCCAGAAGGAATCCACTGTGCGTAACACCTAAAACACATGGGTTGACCTGCTGGCGAGGATGGTTCTGGACTGCCACGCATCACGCCAGTCATTTGCAGAGCATAATTTTTTTTTCTTAGCAGACTTGTCAACACAGTGGTATCTTAAAATACAGCTGTCCATAAAACAGGTTAAAATAAAGCTGCCTACAAAACAAAATTGTGCTTTCACATAGCACCACATCAGCTAAAGCTCTGTGGGCCTTCCCCATAAGCTCAACACAGGAACTGTAGAGTAGGGGAAGGTAACGCAAACACAACTTGACAGGGGTCCCTGCAGCTGAAGATAATAAATGTTCCATGTGAAAATATGTCTTGCCAAGCACAGCTAAGAAACCAGGATCCTAGCTTAAGGACAGAGAGAAAATTCCCAGTGGGAGATGGGATAGGTTCCCTGCTCACAGCACATCCAAACCATAACAAGATCTGAGGTGAAAAGGCTGCTCTAAATCAGCCAGGCACTGTACGAGTTTCCTGCATAGCGGCATGCCAATAAATAGACTGTCTTCCTACAGAACTTCTACATCCAGAAGTGACACTATTTGCAGCATCTGATTGGGAAACATCTAAAAACATAAGTCCTGTTTCAACTGTTGACCAGACTTTGTACTCTCTCTAGGATGCACCACTATTACCAGTTGTCTGATTTGGTTGAAAGAAAATATTTTATGATCTAAATTAAACTGCACTCCTCTTGAGGAAGATACTGTTTCAGGTGAATTTGGGAAGACTGTGGCTGTGAAGGAGCAGCAGTACCTGGTGCCTCCACTGGACAGGCTGGAGTACTGCGCCCACCCTGATATGTGAAATAGCATTTAAGGCAGGCCTTTGGTCTCAAACAGTCCTAACAAGGCCAGCAGCCTAAGAATTGAAAGCATTACAGCACATACCTCTCAGGAATGAACTTCTCTGGCTCTGGCCAGAACTCGGGGTTGTGGTGGAGATGTCCAACTGCGGTTTCAATGACAGCCCCGGCTGGAATATGCTGTCCCAGCACTACACAGTCCTTAGCAGCTTCCCGAGTGAACCTGCAAGTGTCATATATCCCAGATGATTAATAAATGTGAAGACACAGCAGGACAGAACCATAAAAGTCAATCTCTTCAGTTGGACTGACTTTGCAGTTTAGGGAGTAAAACTTTCCCGGTATATAAATACAGCAACCATTACTGGTGTTAGTATCTTCGCGGATTACTATCATCTCCAACTACCTATAAACACAAATCCCCAGTGCAGCTACCTAACTTTTGTCCTTTTCACAGTAATTTCTGGCTGCTTATTATTTTCAGAAACACTAACTGTTGAACTGCAATTTTGCTGTTAAAGTCAGCTTAAGAACCTATTTCTTATGAAAATTGCAGACGAAATGCGTCAGTCATCGCTAATAACAGGCAGAAAGAGTATACTGTTTTGCCTTCAGGAAAAGTTATATCAAATACAGTTTTTTGAGTTTTATTTGAGAGGCTCCCTCACTCTGGGACTGCACCTGAAACTTAGCAAGGGATGGTTTTAATGCTAGGGTTAAGTGCTATGCTGCTGCTACAGAAATACAGCCAATTCACAAACCATTGAAAGCCTGCAGCTCACTCATCAAGGACAGGTGAGACATCAGCAACATAACTGTCCAGTTTCCTCCCACCCTGTGGTGGCAGGTGATGGAGTGGGACTGTCCTTAGGGACCTTACTGTGACAACAAGACTGAGACAAGCAGCCTGGCTGCAGCCAAGCTTGGGTCTGTAAACCCTGTAAAAATGCCGTGTGGGTGTGCACGTGTGCAGGGATAGATCCTGATAGGGATCTTTCGGAGCTTGGGTGGTCACTGCAGACCCCAGCCCGGCTGCAGGCAGCTGTGGGCTCCCTCAGCTGGCAGCTATTGCCCAGCACCAGCTGGGAGCACAGGGGCTCCCTTTGTTGCTCCCTGCACTGAGCCTAAAAAGTTGAATGAAGATTTCAGTTTCAGGGCTGTCAGTCGAGTGTTATTATAGAAACACATTCTTTCCTCACTGTCACCCAGTTTCTCTCTTTCTCGTAGACAAATAAATAGCAGAGACTCCAAACCTGGAACAGAATTCTGACATGTTAAGGAACACATTGACAAGCCATCCTTCTCATCCTTACATGAATTTGGTGACAGTGGAAACATTAGTTTTGTGGAAGAAAATTCTCTGGCTAGTAAATTAATTTTTTAAAAGAATCTCATTTTACAGCATGCTTGGCTGCTACTGAGTTTTCTTCAGAATACAGCATTATCCTTGTCATAGGCAATTAGCAACTTTAGAAGTTGCTAATTGGGCTAAAAGGGCTGTCCTACCCATTGCACATCCCTCAGAGTAAAAGCCAGACCAATAAACACCACCACCAATGCCTGCAGAAATTTGGAACTACTTTGCTCCATTCTCATTTTGTTTCCCCACCTGACAGACATTGATTCTTTTCCTTTGTTTCACCTGAAACTCAAAGAGTGCTGATGCTTTAACGAGTGAAACAATTTCCACTGGTATACCACATATAACATAATAAAGCCCAGTCACCTCATCTAGGAGCAAGTATCTTTGACATTTACTCTCTGAGCAACCCTGTCAATGTCCATATAAAAAATATATATATATAAAAAAAACTTGACTTGCAATCTTTACGGATGCATAAAAGAGAACATGATGTTAAACTTTTTTATTTTAAGGTGTTTGCAATTGTGGGGCAAGTTTTTCAAAGGCTGTCACAGTAAGCTCAGCTTTGGCTCTTTTCCAGTCCTCTGAAATTCCCCCTGGCTTCACAAGAAGCAGCAAAACTGGCTAACTGCTTTGAAAAGTTCCACTCTTAACATTTACATTTATGCTTATGACAACTTGGAAATTTGACAATCATACAGCTTATAAGTTCTTTCACGCTTTCCTTTTAGCTCACCAATATAACTTAATAAACTTAGCCTTGGGTGGATTGGGACAAAACTTTCAAAATTTAATGGATGTAGCCATTAGCTTAGTGATATTATTGTAACACAGTACTAGTGCAAAACAGTATGGGTCCAAGTCAAACAGAGATGTAGAATAGAATTGAGCTTTCTGAATGTGCAAACCTTCCAAACCAGGGCCTTAATGAATAGTGAGTAACTTAACCACCAGCCAAGAGGCCAGGGTAGTTCTTTGCTCCCTGTCTCTGAAAAAGCAGCAGCATCTGGCTTTCCCAGGCTAGTCCTGCTGCAGAATGGCTCCATCCTCCAATCTTGGGGGATGTGAAGAATGTTGAGAAAGCAATCTTGGCCAATCTGTCGTAAAAAAGTTACTTTTGAAATACTAGGATTAGCCAGTTTTCCTGCAATAGGCCACTTTATATCTTTCAAATGCACAAGCAGTATTGATGTTGGCACAGAGATCAAGGGCACACTGGTCTTCCAACAGCAGATTTCCATTTTATTTAGCTAGGGATATACCCAGTGGAATGTGGAGGGGAATAAAAAAAAAGTACCTGAATGCAGGTGGATACATGCGCAATGTTTCTGCAATCACCATGTCCAGATAAGGGAGCTCTTGTACATTTTGATAATCAGGAACCATCTGAAAAGGCAGGAAGAAAGGAACAATTACATTTTCTCACATTTAAGTGCCAAACTCATCTCAGATTAGCTTTTAAATCATCTATTTTTACTGGGCATTTTTCCTGTAGAAGAACTCGATGTCTCATCTAAAACAGTAAATGATAAAATTATACAAAACTGTGGGCAGTAATTAAATGTGTGTATAACATTCCTTTCATCATCAAAACACTTTGGTGTGCAGCCCAGCTGAAGATATAATAATAAATCAACTTGCTAGAAAGTATTTTAAATAGGGCATTGCAGGGAGCATTAATAGCTCCAGCAGTGATATTGTTTTATTCATGCACTGAAATCCGCACTGGACACTGGTTCCTTCCCAAGGCCAGGAGCGTGGCAGACCGGGAGCACTTTCTTTGTAAGAAACAGCAAATAGGTTATTCCTTGTCGATGTTGGAGCCAACCCTTTGCCCCTTCCCAGCACTCAAGCAAAGTGCTAGAGCGCCGTGAGGTCTGTGGAGGGGTGGGAGATGGCACTGGGACGCCCGGCAGCCGATAAGGAATGGTATACAGAGGCGAATTGCTCTGCCAAGTAGTGGGGCATGAGGGCAGCTCAAATCCTGCCCGGCAAGACTGCAGTGGTGAAGGCTGTCCCTTCCCGTGGACATCCCATGAGGGACAATGCTTTGTTTGGCTTGGGGTGCAATGCTGGAGCCCACATTTTTCATGAGACTACAAAACTTCCCGGCCCACAACAACGAGCGGTGAGCACCAAAACCCAAAGAGCAGTGCAGCTCAGAAGGCTTTGCCCTTGGACAGGCAGCAAACAGACGACGGGAGACAGCAAACCGAGGGCGACCGGGAGCAGCAATGCCACAACTCAGCTCACAGATGCAGGGATAATTCGTCCCTGTTGCCTTCCTCGGAAAAAGGACATTTTCGCCGTCATTATTCAGCGCTCTCAGCAGAGGGCAGCCAAAGTACATCTAATAACCTCATCAGGAGAGAGGAGTTTTGTTTTAAATTAGAGCATCTCCTAAGGACTGACACGGAGTAAATTGGAGAAAAGCACAGACGTCAGACTAGACTAAACCTTTTATGAAGATTTGGGGCCCCTGCCGTTCACAAAGGGGACTGGATTCCATCCTTCCTTTATTTACTACAGCACTTTTCATGTATAATGCATATTTTATTGAATTTTCATGCAAAAACATATGGTACATACTGCAAATACTAAGCAGAGAACAACTCCAGATGGTATGCAGAAAAGGCGTACAATAGAGCGAGGATACCTTGCTGGATTAGGGTATCCCACTTATTCAGAACTAAGCCACCATGCACCATTTCACATTAACTGATCTTTTCGAGGAAGGAAATAGATACATTCTATTATCCCCATTTTTTTTTCTTTTTTTTCTTTTTTTTTTTTTTTTTAGGCTCAGGAGAGGAAAAGCAAAAACAGAGAAAATAATTTGCACATGCTGAGCAGAACCAGTGTGTCTGCGCCTCTCGTATGGAAAAAAAAAAAAAAAAAAAAGATTAAAAAAAAATATGCAACTCAGCTTGTCAATATATGAAGTATTTTGTCAGTATATGTCAGATATTATCAATACAGGAAGTACGACTACTCTGACAGCCTTTCAGCGTTATTTTTATACTGCAGCAATGCCTATTAACTCAAACCTTTGGCTTAGGTCGATGGTTATCAGACAAAGGACTGGGAGACTAAAACACACAAATGGCAGCAATGCCATGAGAACCAGGGCTGAACGCTGTGCCCCAATAATTTATATAAAACCAGAGACAGGAGGATGAGTTTTATCAGCTGTGTTTTGCGGAAAGGGACCTGCGGTTCAGAGGCTACCTGCCATGCCCAGGGTCGCTCAGGATCTCAGTAGCAGAGGCTGGAAATGACCCATGATCAGACTCAACATTCAGGCTTTCATGGCAAAGCTACCTTTCTTCGTGATGGTGTAGGCACTCCAGGCTTTGACGCAAATGCATACTGGGGTGTGTATTCTTTTTTCCCCCCGGCTAATTTTACATCTCTCTTTCAGACCCTTCCCCTCTTCTTTTTCTCCTGCATCTCTCTGAATCCTGGGTCACCACCTCAGCCCTGTCCCTGCTCTCCCTGCCCATCTCGTGGATGGGCTGGCTGAGGAAAGAGCTCAGGCTCAGAGGGAAGGAGTGCTGCAGCCAAGATCACACCATGATGTGCCCGATTCCCTGAGCCATGCGCTCTCCACTGGTCCTTCCTGTCTCTCTCATAATCCCTCTACTTACTTCTGGAGTCAATAATTAAGATAATTATACGGTAACCTGATATAATAAGTAGCCACTAAATCAAACCATACATCAACAAATAATATAACACTAAATTATGGGAGCTTTGATTTGCTCTTTCAAATAGCTTCTATACCTTGCGGGGATTAGCAGTTTAGAAAACAAAGCAAAGGTGCAAAACCAGCTGATTTTCCTTGGAAGAAAATTCCTTTTGCTTGCATAAAGAAAAAGGGGTCAGTCAAATGGCAGCACAGTGAACTCTGCTATCATGGGCATGGCAGACACATCAGTCATTTCCTACATCTGATGCAGCTTAATTATTGACACTTCCATGCTTTTAACATCAAAGTAGCCGGACCTAATTTAGTAGTTGTTTGCAAGGTCTGACCCAGGGCTGCGTAAAGTACACACCAGCCACGTATCCCTGTTTGGGAAGGACAGTTTGCTGCTGCTGCTTTTTTTTTTTTTCCCTATCAAAGAAAATATTTTCCATTTGTTTTTCCACTCCCTTTCTTCAAAATATTCCTTTAGCCAAGCACATTTCAAAGGAACTTAAATGTGCTTTTCTCCCTAAATGTCCCTATTTATATCTTTCAAATGCTGGCAGGTTTGCTGTGGTGAGGGGGTGTTGCTGTGTAAAGTTGCCACTTTAACCCCTTTCAAAAAAAAACACATTTCTACATTGGCTTTTACTCAGGATCGGGTGTATTTTCATTAAGAGATTCCTTTCTGTAACGAGTAGAGAAGTGGGGGGAGAAAGAGGCACCACGCTGCATGTAATAAAACTTCCTATATTTTCATTCTGCAGCCGCTGCTTTGCACAGCCGTTTGTTGTATGCTTTGTAAATCCCTGTAGTATCTCTTCCTGCTGACTTGGAAGTAAAACAGCCATGTAACATCTTGTGGCATTTCTCTGGGTGCATGTTTCTCCAGTTTGACTTCCAGAGGTGTGGTGGGACACTCTCACCCATCCCAGACCATTCGCTCACTTCTGAAGTCCAGGAAATGTCTAGTTTGGCCACAAACAAACTCTCCTTTATGGCTGGCAGCAAATCCGAGGCCTCAAATCCCCAGAAAAGGTGGGAAATTAATTCTTGACCCCGCAGAGCACCCTGCAGTGAAATACCAGCAGTGATTACAAAATTCCCTACGTGCTACAAGGATGATGCATGATTTAATCCCCATATAAATTCCAAGGGAGATAACTGCCTTCAGATCCACCTCTGCTTTTCAGTTTTGGCTTTAACATTTTCTAGGCTGGCAAACCTATTTTTTGCCACCACCCTCAGCTAACTTTTAATTCCTCAATGAACACCAAGGGAATCAAAGTGCTGACAGGAGAGGTCTGGCCAATCTTTCTGCTGCAGTTTGAGATGTTACTGTTCCCAGTTGCTCGCTCCTCTTTGCTGGCTGTGGTTACCAATGCCACAGCCAAGTCAGCAGAAGGGAACATATGCCTGCACCTCGGTTGCTTCCATACAACGTCCAGCATGAACCCATCTTCAGCGACAGTTTAAGACAAGATACGAACTTTTTCCCCAAGTAGCTGTCGAGTGAGGCACAGATCCTCCCCTACCACCTCTGTTTGGGGAATGGTAATCCAAGCACACATCAGCGAATAAAAGATTTCCACTTATCCTATTGGTCATGGTCTGGCGGTGCTCAGCAGCCAGAAATGAAAAAAAATCAGAGAAAATTGTATGTAGCTGACAGAGTGTGACGTGCACCTGAAATCGATTTGGAAGCAGCGAAGGCTGCAGAGACCACATTGCTCACAACCAGCGCTGCTGAGTCACGGGGCCGGGGCTGAACCAGCTGCGGTTTCTGGGAAGTTGCAAATCTCAATCAAACGCCTCGCGGGCAGGTGTGACTGCGACAACACCCGTGTCAGAGAGCTGACACGTACATCTGCCTGGGTGCAGATGCAGATCCATGAGTTATCCGTACACGTCGAGCTACACAGCCCACATCGGCCCTCCCCCAAATGTAGACTTGGGAAGGCAACAGGATAGGAGGGGGTGAGTCAACAACAAGCCGGCATCGTCCCCTGTGACTCTCACCCACCCGTCGCCCAAACTCCAAGAGCTATTCAGCCCATAGCCATAGTCAGTATTCACAAACGGGTCAGCAACGTTGCTTGATCAAATGGATCAAAAGCTGCTGACAGATCAAAGAATCTGCCTGGGGTTTTGACCTTCCTTTGGTCACTGCTAGGAGCGGCTAATCCACTAAGCGAGAGATGGCCCGCGTGCCCCGCTCAGCCTGGGAGAGCGGGGAGAAATGCAAGTGTCGAGTTAGGGTTGCCCCATGGCAGCCTTTCTAGCAACCCTATCACGACAGGAAAGGTTAGAGACACAACAGGCTCAAGATACAGATCAATGAAAAACAGGGTGGGGTGGTGCAACACTTGCCTATCTGTAAGTCGCCTAAGGGAAGCTCGCCTCAAGTTTTACCATTTCCACAACAACGCGCTGGAATAACCGTAAGCACCAAACTAAAGCCTCCCCACAAAGGCAGTGAAACAGGGGCAAACTTGACCACCTAAAATTTCTTGGCTTCATCCTCAGAACTTGGATCAAATACTAAAAAAAAAAAAAAGGAAATAAAAATAAAAAATGCTTAGAGCAGTCATCATGCAATACCTATTGCAAAATTTCTCTCTGCTATCTACCAAATGAGATGTCACCCTGAGGCATGGCACCAGGCAGGAGCAGCCCTTGCTGCTGGGGAAAAGGGACC